CCATTACATCATTTAATATTTAAATATTACAATCATAAACATATTTCAAAATTACTTACTACCAAAAATATCGCTTATAAAAGTCCCAATCGTTTAAAATGTGCGATGGTGCTATAGGTATCTAGTCAGTAATCTATGGGTAGCTAGTTATAGTATGGTGTAGTATAGCCCTATCGGTGTATCAACGCGATCGCGCGGTGTCGGTGAGAAAAAGTGATACGTCCCGTCGTTGGGATTACCCGGAGCGTACTTTTCAGTTTATACAAAGGTACTCTGTGGCGTACTGAATCGAACGGTGCCTGCGCATGATGTTTTATAGTATTTTTAAAATAATTATATAAAATAATTGACAAAATAAAACGAGCTAAATTTTTTTTTTGGATATTTAACATTACATGTATTTTGATAAAATAATTAAAATAGATATGTTTATAAGCAAATACATGGAAAAAATTACATTGAAGTAGACAGTTTTGGTGATTTTATAATATTATTTTATAATATTAAATCGAAATATTTTTGTAATTTAGGTTTTGCTATACACTAAAAGACTATATATTCCATTATAATAACGCTTAAAATAAAGTATTTTAGCTTATAATAATGGTTGTATTCAACTTGAAAGATAACTCTGATGCATATTTTCGTAAAACACAGTGAAGGGATTGTCTTCGCCCTAAAAAACCGTAATTAAAAACTATGATTTTGCATTGCTATGTACTAAATAAAGACTTCATCTTTCTAAAGCCCTAATTTTCAGCAAATAATCTCCTCACGTCGTTACGATATCGCCTTTGGAGAAACTATAAAACATGTAGTTTTCGACGCGAAACGCATATGCCCTCTTATACTATAAGGTTCTAGTTGTATTTTTTTGGTCAAACGACAAAACTTAAAAGGCATGCCTGCCATGTGTATCACATGTTTATGACTCCATTATTTTGGACCATTATTTTACAAGGAGGTGATGGCGATAGGCCTGTAGTTGAACGGGTCTAAGCGGTCGCCTTTTTTAGGGATCGGGTGGACCAAAGCTGTCTTCCACGAATTTGGGACTACGCCTTGGGAGTAGGAGTACCGGAAAAGACGCGGACGCTTTAAAACCGGTGCCAACTCCGGAGCACAAGTTTTCAGCACAATGGGAGGGACTCCATCAAGCCCACTCGACCTAATGACGTCCAGGGAGAAGATTGCTTTGCAAACTGAGCGCTGTGTAAATCGCACATACGGCATGGAGCACTCACACCGTGGGATTGTCGGCGGTGTGCTCCCCTCGTCATCGAAAGACGAGTTGGACGCAAAGAGAGAGCCTAACAGATCGGCTTTCTCCTTAGCGGCATGGGCCAGTGAGTCGTCCTCTCTGTGCAGAGATGGAAGAGATGACTGACAGAAGTTCCTTTGGACAGCCTTGGCGAGAGACCAGAACGCACGGGTTCCCGAAGGAAGGCGAACTAGCCAATTCTGCCGATGACCTTGCCTTGGCAATGACTCTTTTGAAGGACCTGGAGGCGGAATTATACTTCTTTTTAAGAGCGCTGGTGCTTACATCCCGAGACGTCGATGCGTCAGCCAGGCTCGGTACCACTTCTACTTATAGTGTGATGCTATTTGACAGGAGCTACCAAACCATGGCTGTGATCTGCCTCCAATGGGCACCATAGAGGACGGAATAAAAAGTACCATATCCTGAAATGTACTTTATCAGTGACAGAATCAGCAACAATGCTAGGATCGTCCGGCGAGAAGCAAAAAAGACCGCATCCCGTCCCATTCCGCTGACCTATTGCGCCAAACACGGCGGCAGCCTGCAGAATGCAACCGCGACGTTAATGTTACTGGCACCACGCTCCGGACAAGACAATGGTCCGACGAGCCTAAAGGTGCATCGACGGAAACCTGATATCCGTCTGGATGAAAGGTCAGCATAAGGTCCAACAGGGAAGGTGTATGATCTTCCACATCTAGGATCCGCGTAGGCGCAGTAACCAGTTTTGTCAGACCATGTGCCAAAGCAAAGTCATAAACAGATCTCCCAGCATGATCGGTTAAACGTGAACCGAGTCTTTCGGCTTGGTGGGCGTTAAAATCGCCAAGGAAATCGAACTCTGCGGATGCAATATGTTATTACACGGAATCTGTAGCCATTTGGACGTTGCCGATGAGTCGGTCTGTTTCGGTATTACCGCTATGGAACCTATAGAGGCACCCGTAGACGCGGGAATGGCCGTCGCTGTCTACGCGTAGCCATAGGTTGGACACGTACCTTCGAGACTGCCGAAGCGTCGAAAACAGATGTCTTCTCTGACGTAAACGCAAACTCCAGCCAGGGGCACAAAGGAATCTTCTAATTTGTACCCCGGGTAGGAGACACATGAAGTAGCTGGAGAGGACACCTGAGTCTCGGTTAAAAAGGGGCAAGGCCAGTTTCGCTGTGTCCAGATGGTAGTGGATCGCGTTAAGGTTGGAATGAAGTCCCCTGATGTTGCAAAAATTCACGGATAGCGTGGCAGGGGTCTCCTTGCTGTTGTTGCTCCACTTGCTCCGAGTAGTTTTTGTCGCGAGTGGAATCCCCCCAGAATACGCGGGGCTGCCTGAGCTCCCGCTCAGGAAGCGTAGGATAACTTGGTCGTGGATGCACAGCGAGGGATTCCCCGTCACCAGGCGTGCTGGTACCCTCCTGGGGTAGTTCTTTACTTAATTCCGCTAGTATGTTAAGGAGGGGGGGGATTGGGCCTCCGGCCACCTGCAATCACTAAGCGAAACGCAGAGGTACTCTACGTGGTACCACTCCGGTTTGAGCCGGCACATCCGTGCGACAGGAAAAGCTGCCGCGTGGCTCTACCACTGTTTCACTACTAGTTTTATGTTCAGTATTTTTATGGTTTTCTTTATGAAATTATAGTTTCATTTATCTGTACTGACATAAAGAGCGTGAATATAGCTAAATAAACGTTGTAAAAGTGATACATTTTTTTCATCGGGATCGATTTTCTTTTCGTCCCATCATGAAAGGTATCCTTAATACTATCGTCTGTCTTCGTTTTCGGGAGCGTTTCACAACCACCCGTTATAGAAACGGACTAGCGAAAGTCTAGAACTACAATAGATATTCGGCCTACTAGATGTGGCTTTTACAAGAATTTCTCCTGATTAAAGTAAAGGATGAACATGGATAAAAAGTCATTTCTAACGTCCATTTTACACCTAAATCGGTAGTTGTTGGAAACAATAAGCTCGAAAGATCTGGGTGGGATATTATATTAACATCAATTACCAATCACTTACCTCACCTGTTAACGAAATATTTACACCTAGGACAAAATGTTCGATTAGGTCAACTGACGAGCTGCGTTCAGGAAACTGCGACAAATCTTCCTGCTCGATATTCCTTAGAACTGGACTTGTGATAACTTGTAGTTATAGGGTTTTTAACACACTTGTATTAGCTTCGGGAACCTTTTAATGTTATTTTCACCAACTTGTAGACGGCCGATTGACTTGAAAGTTTGCACGCGTATCAAGAACTGATGACAATACTATAATAATAACTTTATCTTGATCCGGACATCACCAGGATGAAATAAAATTATTATCAGGATCATCGCAGCTCATGATCAATGTGTGTTGTTCAAATTCTTTTTAAATTTAACTTTATACGTGGTAGAGTCACGCTGCAGCTATATTATGGTTGTAGCACGAATAGGTCGGTTCGACCAGGCTAGGACTACGCTCTCACAGGATACTAGTGTAAAATAGTAGCTTAATACTGCTGTGTTTCGTATGCTGAGTGTAGAGATCCGGAGACCTTTTTTACTGGAAACAAGGCATTTCATCTTAGTCCTGAGGGGTGATAACACGTTCCTGGGTGATAATTGATGGACTGTGTACTCGTTTTGTTATCCTTATTTCATAAACACTCACATCCTTATTTTAAATACACTCTTATATTATTATTACTTATGTAGGTATATATTTAATAGGGTTAAATTGTAACTGTGTGGAGCAAAATAATCTGCTCGTGAGGTGCTTTCTGTTTGTTCTCACAAGGAGGGACTTTGACTTTTAAATCGCACTTTTAAAAAGAAAATTTTGTACTAACATATTTGAATTTGACTTTGTGTCACATACACACAGTATGAAGTAGGGGCTGAAATAGAAAACTGTTTGTGGGCTAATAAGGATACGATGTACTACAATAAAACCAATATTATTTTCGAGTTAACATTTATTACCATAAAATATTTACTATATCAAAACATATATTTTTAAAAAATGATATGAATGGCCGGAGAGACATTTATTATTATTAGCGTAAGGTTGAAGACGATGTACATTATTGATACAGCTGAAGGTAAAGAAAAATGAAGGTAGTCTTGAATTATGGAATGATCTATTGCATGATTTATTACATGGTGGCAACGGTGTAAAATCTGTATGCAGAGACAATATTAAGCTTATTACTTCACAATTACAAAATTTGTGTAACCTTACACACCTTAAGGTGTAACTAGCGTAACCAACCGTCCCGTAATTCATGGGAGTTATAGAATTCAATTTTCCGCCAGAGCAAGTTAAGAACAAGTGGAGTTTTTTCTGCCCAGGAGTACCTACTGGGGCATTTCCGGAGCGACAGAGCACTGAAATCGTGTCACTGTAAAGTCTGAGTTCCAAGCTCGAGCTTGTCTCTGAATAACGCTGTTATACTAAATATTAATTAATCAAAATTATAATTAAATAAAAAATCAAAGTTTCAGCCTTTATACGTCCCACACATGGGCACATGTCTCTTATATTTTCTGAGACAGTTACGGAGCAATTAGTTCATTGCGCTGTTCCATTTTTATTCTTTTATTTTTCAGACATGCTGGTTTCTTAACAAAGTTCTCTTTCATCAACGACCGGGTGGCAAATCAGTACTTACAATTGCACATAACAATTACATCAGTGCCAGTGGGATCGATCCCGGGTTGGCATAATTTAGCCCCTGGAGCTAGCACTCCCTAGTTTTGCTCTAGTTCGACGCGTGCACTTGGCTGCAGGAGCAGCGGTGAGGCTGGAGGTGGCTGCAGCGCCTCCGAGCCCGATCCCCTGCGCACAGCATCAAACTCATCTCACACACCAACAAACAAAACATACCAACGATACGAAGCACGGCTGACATTTTAATATTTTTTTTAATATAAAATAACTGACAAACGAACTAACAGCCCAATTCGTAGTAATAACCTACCTAAAATATAGAAAACAACAGATGCTTTATCAGCTATGCAGACTAAGATGTAATGATTCCACAGTATTATAATTGTCGCACGAATGTGTCGGCTCGACCGGGGCAGGACCACGCTCTCACTGAATACCAAAGTAAAGTAGCAGCTTTATGCAGCTGTGTTTCATATGGTGAGTGTAGGAAACCGGAGACCCTTTTTACTGGAAACGAGTCATTTCATCTTGGTCTTTAGGGGTGACAACGCATCTGCTTTTTGATTCTTCATCGAAGATTTATGTAGATGTCTATGAGTCACAGCATCCACTTACCATCAAGTGAACTTTATACCCGTTTATCACCCTTATTCTATAAAAAACCTGTAAGTATTCTAGATCTCTATAGCCTTCAGGGCGTAAGACAGCAGAGCAAGCAGTGCTGTACGGCGGCATCCAAAACATGGTCCCGAGCGACATGTTGTATCCATCAACATCCTGCACTCCAAGACGGCACTCCTGTAGCGCCAAAATTTAGTTGAGGATCACTTCCAAACATGCTCTACGTGATTTTGATTGTATCTCTAGTCAACTTTTTATACGTCAATTACACACGATTTTTGAGGTAAATGATCATCTTCCCGGTTTTTTAATTAGCGTAATTACAATGCATCAACAACTTTTCTTATTTGACTTTTTTAATTACGATGTTTCAGCGTCAAACTATATTCTAACGAACGTCAACAGCTCAGTCCCTTTCATAATCATGGGCGCTGGAAAGTGCCTGAAATGTCGGTAATTAAAAAAGTAAAAATAAACAAGATGAATCTGTAAAATAAGTTTTATTCCATAGCACAACGGATTAGTAAGCTCAAGTGGTAATAGGCCGGAAATATAGCTCGAAGAACCGACAACCGATGGGGAAGAAAGATTCTCGAGTGGCAGCCTCGTACCGGTAGGCAAAGTGTAGGGCGGCCTTCCACTAGATGGAGTGACAACCTAGTAAGAAATGCAGTCCGGTGTTGAACATAGTTCTGAGCCACCTGCATCCATTGACTTATTGACGCAGGTGGCTCAGGACCGTGCATCGTGGTATACCTTGGGGGAGGCCTACGTTCAGCAGTGGACTTGTGAAGGGCTGTATTGATGATGATGTATACATCCAGCAGTGGACTTTAAGAAATTAAAGAAAGAAAGAAGAAAAGTGTGCATGAGTGCGTCTCAAATTGAGTATGGTTTAGGGTCATTTGAAATGTACGCAGTGCTCCATCTACCTCTCTTTCTTAGAGCCGATTTACACTTCGACAAGTACAGTAGCGAGTTTAACGGCAGTGGACAGTAAACGGTTAAGTGGGCAGTAGCGTTCAAATGTCTTCGTAGTGAGTTTAGTTACAAAATATACAATTGTATTTTGAGGGTCGACCGCGAACACGTTGCGGTCTGTCAATTTATGCACAGAAATAAACTCGCTCGTTCACACGAGCGACGAGTTTAGTTGCGGGTGGCGGTAGACGCACGGGAGGGTAACACTTTCAACTTAACTCGTCGAAAAATAGACCGGCCAGCAATTCTATTCAAGTTACTTGTTAATTTGCTATTTAAATTAATAACTACTGTTCAAACTAGATTTTCTACTTAACTCGCAAGGTCCGTATGTTAACTCGCTACTGTACTTGTCGAAGTGTAAATCGGTCTTCAATAGTCACAACTAAGGGGGCGTCAATTAATACGTGAGGGTATTTAAGGAAACTAGACAAAGATGAACGTATCAAATACGCTCACTCAAAATACGCATTTTGCAAAATCTCACGTGAGATTGAGGGGGGGGGGCAGGGGTGGAGCTAAATCTTAAGACATATCAGCAGGGGAGACGAGTTTTGAAAAATTGCAGAATTCACCTTACATAATTAATGGACGCCTCCTAACTAAATTATAAAGCCCACGCAAAAGGTTTGCCAATGATCAATGATCACCTCTACCACTACGTGGAATGCGTCCTTCGCTTGTCTGCTTTGTGAAGTTAACCAAGTTGATTACCTATATTCGTTAATGGGAACAGTAAACTATAAAAATATGAAATCAACGTTATGTTACGTATGTTACAATATGCCATTGCCATTAATTTTTAGTTTAGTTATAGATATTAAGTACGCTTACAAAACTGTGAGATAAAATCTTAAAATACATTTTTTATTTTGGGACAGTTTATGGAAATGTGAAGAGTATGTGCGATGAAATTAAAAAGAAAATTATCACAGCTAAGTAGAATATACCTAATACCTAAGTTAACGAGAAGTAGTCGAACAACTTATAAAATACACTTGGATTAGTATAAAATTTCGTTACAACTCCATACAAAATGACTTAAAATTAGCTGCATTATAACTTTTATAATGTTAGTTTTATAATGGTAGTTTTATAAATGTATACTGTAAGAAATAAAAACTTTATGAAGAAAACGACTTGTATGCATTATTACTATAGCTTTACTTTTTCCTTTGCGGCATGGGCAGGAAGGACCTTTCCTATATACTACTTTCGCTTATTCTTTAGTTGGAAGTTATTGTAGGCCTCATTAAAAGTATTCATACCTACGGTATTTTCGTGAGTGATGCAAGAAAGTACCGTAGGTATGAATACTTAAGAAAGTCTTGTGTATAACATCGGTGCTTTCTTGTGCCTATATTGCGTCTAGAAGGAGAGAATGCACCGAATAAAATGTGATTATAAATAATAACAATAAATTGAGAAATTAATTAAGTGACAAAAGATATAAAAGGACTTTGAAATTAAGTGTCAGAAGTTTGCATGCATTAGTTTAAGAGTAAAAGGACTCCCGAACGAAAACCCGGAGTCCTTTACACCCTTTATAATATCAAGGACAAAGGCAATAAAAACAAGAAATTAAAGTCCGTGTCGAGCTGACAGAGAAACAGCAAAGCATACATTAAAAAAAGTATTCATACAATCATATAGACTCGTAGTTTTATTCGTGGTAGGTACTCTTGATTTACGCGGGCGACCCTCAGGATAGTTTAGGGCAGTGGTGGTTTACGGAAAGGTTCGTTACAACATATATATCTTAGGGTTGCACTACCGGGAGTACGTAAATAGATTGCCAACTATGACCATCCTTGTACGGACTTGGCATGTCAATGATTGTATTATTTTCAAAATCGAAAAGTATTTTTAATCTTTTTTTTTTTTAATATTACATCTTATGATTAAAAAATAAGTCCTTCAGTTACAATCGTCCTATTTGGGCCCATTTTTAGTCGTTATCGCGATCAAGCCGCGAACTCAATATGCTCATTATCATAAAAGCCCCTTCTAAGTTTACGTATTCTGACGAGCCACTACGGAGCCCTACCTCTACATTGTGCGTGGCCCGACACGCACTTGGCCAGTTTCATTTATTTTAAGTATGTTCACAGATTCCACCGTCAAGTATGGACCGAAGTCGATGATTCTTTTTTTTTTAAATATTTTTATATATATTATTTATTATGGGCCTTCTCTACACTATAACTTAGCGCATACTTCAGAATGTGAAATAATTTTATGCTTTTTAGTTCCTGAAAGTCGACTTTTACTTTTTGTTAAAAGTAAAAAAAATTATTGAGAAGTAAAAGTTAAGTAAATTTTAGTAGTTGCATAAAAAAAATCTTCACCTTATTTGTCTTTTGAGTTTTTGTATACTTTTAGTAGAATTAAATGATTTTAGAAGGTAAATCAACTTTGAAAACCGAACAATACAGCTAGCAACACTTCGATCAATGCTATAAATAAGGATGCTTTTGGCAAACCTGCGCGAGGGTTGTAGTTCTTTTTATTATTAAATTGGTCGGCTGACACCACTATTAAAATATTTACATCACACCAATAGAAATTCGCCAAGAGTAAATAAACGTTACACTTTATTTATAAACCCTTTATTTAAAAGCCCTTCCGCTGTGCACAGATATCTCATTTCTAAGAGGATTTTTATGACACAGAAGTTCGCCGCGTTGACCCAATGTACTTGTACTATTATCTATTCCTTGCGCACTGCAAGTTGCCGGACTTCACATGTCTTAATTTTTTCTATTTCTGCGACATGTTTCCTTTTAACGATGAGCATGTCAGATCATAAATGTAAAATCAGAATCAGAACGTAAAATTGCACTAGTTTCATTGGTGCCGACGGGGATCGAACCCTGGTTGCTCGCAAACTGTGAAATTAACTAGCACTGATCCCCAGCTGCCAGGGCTGTTCCTAAAGACTATGTACAATTATTTATAAAGATATTACATTACTATCGTGCACTTACTCGTCAGTGCGTTCCCCGGTCGCTTCCCCCGCAACATCTTCCTCGTCCTCTCCCTCTCTCTCGTCCTCTCCCTCTACTTCATCCTCTCCCGCGCTATTAGATCCGCTGCCTTCCGACCTGTGCACGACAATACATTATTTCCTGTTCAGATATCCTTAATACAAGTAACTTTTTTTTAAATTTACTACTACTCTATCGTGTCTGTATGAAATCAATTAAGATAACCGGGACAGACATATTAAGAGAGTAATTGCACTTTCTCTTATCCATCTTCTTTCGATTGACCATCACGCATGTCGATCCACATGCGAAAACGAGCCTTTAAAAATTTTTATTTCAATAATAATAATAATACCCCCCAGACCGAATTTCACCAGTCTCACAACGAAGACTCTTATCTGCCGCAGGACAGGAATAAAGTGCCAGAGTGTACGCACAAGCACAAGTGCAATCTCTATTCCCTCACTCACACAGACCTATGGGACGTCAATTCGCTACGACCAGAGAAGGATCAGGCGTAGGACCAACGGCTTTACATGCTTTCCGAGGCACGGGGGTGAAACACTGACAATTTTCTGACTCCGGACTGTGACTAAGAATTTCTTAACAGAAAAACCCAATAACCAATTTTGATCTGACCCGGGATTCGAACCCGGGACCTCATGATTAGCAGTCGCGATTACGATCACTAGGACTAACGAGGCGCTTATTTGTACAAGAACTATTGGCAAAGGAAGGAAAAGGGAAAACCTGAAAAGCCAAGCAATCTTCAGCCCGGGGAGCCACCATTATGTATGGAGCTATTCTATATATTATACCGGAATACTTTAGAAACTTCGATAGCGTGATTTAGTTTGGGTTCGTTTCGTTTGTGTCGCGAAATAGTGCCACCACAAATGAAAATGTTCAGGAAGTTCAACATTATTATGTCATCTATACTGGGACCAAAATCTCGGGTTCTATTTTCCATACGCGTGTGATATCATCATTGTAACATGACGTCAAGGGTCAAATAGCGACTCAAGCACCTACAGCAAGCTCACCGTTACCTGGGTAATGAGCACAGTTTTCCTGATCAACGATCAAACGCGAAGGGCCCAGTGACGAGGTCGGTTTTCACTGACGCGTCACGCGGCCTTACGTAACTAACGTCACGTTAAGGAAAATGTTACATAAGGAAAGCTCTAAACGAATATTTCCTATTGGCTCGGAAGATGTAAAATATAACACCCATGTGGGTTTTTAAAACTATAAATATTAGAGTAACAAACGGGATAAAAGTCCACTTGACCACGTAGGTTACCGCAGCAAGTTCTAACAAACAAAGTTACAGATTAATATGATTGAATATTAAACGTTATTAAATTATTTTTCGCATGTGGTAATAGCCTTTGCTTTATTTTAATTACTTCGAGTAAGTGAATAACTTGTTTTTATAAAAAATGTAAATGTATCATTCTTATCCGTCGGAATGTGTCAGTGGGTTGAAGAAGAATCCACGTCAAGTGGAATATTTACTCGTTTCACTTTCAGACTGTCACCACCACATTCTGCTGGATTCATTATTCGTGGATTACTTAAAAAAAACTGCAATGAGATGAACAAATATATTATGAGAAAGTTATCGAGCCAATTATTATTAAGGATACTTCCTGTTACTTGACAAAGGCAAAAGTACAACCACACGAGTCCATTACGAAAGTAAAGAAAATAACATATAGCCTTTGCCTTTATCAAATAAAATAAGGTTGCCAAATAAGCCACATAATCCACCTGACGGTAAGTGAATGCTGTAGCCAGTATTAGCTGTACCTACATTTATCCTGAATCAAAATGTAGATACGTGAGGATCTCCAGTTCTTTACATTTACCATACGAAACACAGCAGTATTAAGCTGCTATTTCACGCTGGTATTCTGTTCAAGCTGGTTTGCTGTGATTCTTCCGCGGTCGAGCCGAACAATACGTGCTGCAGCCATGAGCTAAAGCGTGAACTACCACGTTGAAAAAGATTTGTAGGTAAAGTGTGAAACAATTAGAATGTTACTGAGAGAGGCTGTGTAAGAACAAATGTAGATATTTAAATTTTCTAAACTTTATCTAATCACCGGAGATTTGCTTGTTTTGAGGACTAAATGTGAGAATGTGTTATTGACGGCTTCCATCTAATTTACTATATTTAATGCAATTGTTCATTCTCCCATAATACTTGTCGTTATCATAAAAGGAGGCAATGGAAAAAACACTAGGAGGTGGGCAGCCATCTTCCTAATAACAATTAGAAAATAAAAAACTGCCGTTGCCAACCCGCTTGCCAACTGTGCCAACTATGGCAAATATCCCCTTTACGAGGCAACCTATGGGGAGGCCTGTGTTCAGCGGTGGCGTAGTAAACATACCGCTATAACAGTAAATAGGTATAATAATAATAACGTCCTCCAGACCGAATTCGGTCATCGGCGCAGGACAGGATTACAGTGCCACCAATCCACGTAGCGTGGGGACGTGACGTGACACGAATCCGCTCATTCCCCATTTATCTCCTCCTCATTCCGCTCTGCACACCGCCGCCGCGCCGGCGTCTTGTTGTACGTTGTGTATAGCTGTGTGTTGTGCGTGATGTAGGTACTGACTTGTGGTCGAGGCGGCGCGGCGTGGGGCGCAGCGAGCGACGGCGCGAGGCGCGCGCTCGTCGCGATGCGCGCCGCGCTGCTCGCCGCCGCCGCGCCGGCGTCTTGTTGTACGTTGTGTATAGCTGTGTGTTGTGCGTGATGTAGGTACTGACTTGTGGTCGAGGCGGCGCGGCGTGGGGCGCAGCGAACGACGGCGCGAGGCGCGCGCTCGTCGCGATGCGCGCCGCGCTGCTCGCCGCCGCCGCGCCGGCGTCTTTTTGTACGTTGTGTATAGCTGTGTGTTGTGCGTGATGTAGGTACTGACTTGTGGTCGAGGCGGCGCGGAGTGGGGCGCAGCGAACGACGGCGCGAGGCGCGCGCTCGTCGCGATGCGCGCCGCGCTGCTCGCCGCCGTCTTGTTGTACGTTGTGTATAGCTGTGTGTTGTGCGTGATGTAGGTACTGACTTGTGGTCGAGGCGGCGCGGCGTGGGGCGCAGCGAACGACGGCGCGAGGCGCGCGCTCGTCGCGATGCGCGCCGCGCTGCTCGCCGCCGCCGCGCCGGCGTCTTGTTGTACGTTGTGTATAGCTGTGTGTTGTGCGTGATGTAGGTACTGACTTGTGGTCGAGGCGGCGCGGCGTGGGGCGCAGCGAACGACGGCGCGAGGCGCGCGCTCGTCGCGATGCGCGCCGCGCTGCTCGCCGCCGCCGCGCCGGCGTCTGCGTCACGCTGCGCACACACAAACGACTTATGACTAGGCCGCACACATCGCGATATTACTTTGCCTTCGGCCTGGCTACATTGCGCGTTGTTTACCAACAGAGAAAAGCGATGTGCTTGCGACTTCGCTGTGACGAAGTATTGACGAATACGTGACAAATATATGATGGTTATGCGATGTCTGTGGCCGCGGTATTAGGGATCTTCTAGAAACGAGCTTACTTTACTCTTTTCTAGAAGCCCCGCAATTCACGTAGTGCTGGGGTTGCCAGACATCTTTAATTTAAAGAACGTACTCTATTTCAGACCCATAAAAATCTTTAAGAAAGGACAAGGCAATATCGCGAGTAACGATTTTCCTTCTGCTTGAGGTGAAAGAATTTAAAAATTACTTTGAGGTGACGCGCGATGCTAGAAAAAACTACGTTAAATTGTATATTAACATCGTTTCCTATTGGTTGCGCGGAAAACCATTCGCGTTTTTTTTATTTTTGACGGTAGGAACTTGTCGAATCATTATTCCCTTCCGAAACAATATCATTCGTACCCTCCTATCGACACATCGGGGTGGTGGGGTGGGAGGGGAAAGAAGACGATTCTAGAACATCGCGTAATCATCGGACCCGAGGATATATAAGACACGCGCGACCGACGCGCGCTCTCTTCTCCCGCCGCAGTCGTCGTTGAACTACAACCTCCTCTTCCCGCGCGCTCGTTTGGAAACACCTCACTAGTGGAAACCGCTTTGGCCTGGAAGCAGTCGAGCTCCAGGAACCCGCCTCACCTCGTGTGAGATATCGTCGCGCACCGCCTCTCTCCGGAGTGTTCCGGAAGTCGCCGCTATAGTGATCGACAGGAAGAAGAAACCCCGGTGAGTCAATATTCCTTAATTATACCTGCTTGCTAATAATTTAACCCGCTCCAATCTGTGTTTTTTTTTCCTAGTCAAGCAGGATTCCTTTCATCGATTCGACAAGTAATAGTTTAGTTTAGGGAAGAGCGAATGCATTGTACCGCATGCTATAGTAGTCGCCTTATGTAAGCGTAGAAGCAATCGCATATACAGTCCACTTTAGTTAATATCTCGCGTAATAGGTTTGAGGTTTGACCGGGGAACTAGATTTTCGGCAGCCTTAAACACGTGGCTCCACCATTTTATGGTCACTTCGGCAGGATCTGGATTGGTGTTTAGTGGTTATCCAACCATTTTCTGGTCGAATTATTAAATTAATTGTTTAGATAACGCACTCTAACTTATGGAATAGACTTAAATAGTGTTCGTTTAAATTAAAATTTTGATTTGTTACTCGCAAACAGAATTATTCATTTAATAGCGCTCGTATTTGGTTAAATTTAAAGCTTATTAAATAATTGAAACGGCGTGATAGCAACCGTTTGATACGCTTACCCCACAATTTTATAAAATTATTAGGTTTAGCAAACGACGCGTAGCCTTGACTGCATCGGGCGCTCGATCTGATTACGTAATACAGCACGCCGAGTATTCATCCTACGTCGTTTATGCGTGTGAGATTAATTGTGATTAATATAACTTTATTATAATAATTTAAAATGGCAGTTAGTGGAAGTGAAATCAAAATTAAAACGCTTTATGCCAAGAGGGACATACTCTTTTCGCGTGTGCAAAATATAAGTGATTATATAAAGAACATTCATATAGAGGCAGTACGGGAGGCCTTTTTAAATGAAATCGAAACGATAGATAATTTGCGGACAGATTACGAAAGAATATTAGACCAAATTAATCATTCGGAACTACAAACCGACCCGAAATACATAGTGAACTACCAACCGCTGCTGGCATTCGAAGATATGTTGTGTCGCGTGAAGAGAACCGCAAAATTGCTACAATCTCAAGGTGAAGCGAAGCCTGAAATGCAGGTACGCCCTCGTGACTCAATTAGGTTACCGCCAATAGATATTCCGGTATTCAATGGTGATATTAAGACGTGGCCCTTCTTCTTCAGTAGTTTTCAAAACAATATACACAACAACCCATCGTTATCGGACGCTGAAAAATTATATTACTTAATTAGCAAACTTAGTGGCAGAGCACAGTCGATCTGCTCGGGTTTTACACCTACAGCAAACAATTACGTATTAATATTTGAAACGCTTAAAACTAAATATGAAGATAGGAGAATGTTAGCTTCCGAATATTTGAACCAGATATTCGATCTTAAACCTATATCATCCGCGAACATCAACGGCTTAGAGCAGTTTCTCGATAAATTTGTGGCATCGGTGGCTGCACTTAAGAATTTGAAGTTTGATGACCTTATGGACGTGGTGTTTCTCCATATAGCATTAAAGAAATTAGACTCCGACACCGTGCGTGCGTTTGAAATGGAGCATCGTAGCTCGGAGATGCCTTCCTTTCATTCATTAGCATCGTTCGTGCGAGATCAAATAAAGGTGATGCAGCGCTCACCGAACGTTAAACAGGAGATTAAAAGGTGCGCCGACCGTAGACAGACTCAACCATCTAAAATAGCAGGGTCGTTAACTTACGTAACCGCTACGCCGACATCACTCCAGCATACTTGTATAGTATGTAAAGATAAACACGGTAACTTATATAACTGTGCGACTTTTCGTAAATATTCACCAAGCGAACGTTATAAGTTAGTAAAGACAAACAACCTATGTTTGAACTGCTTAAGCGATAAGCATTTAGTTGCAAAATGCAATTCGAGTTCCGTATGTAGCAAGTGCGCCAGGAAACATCACACGCTATTACATTTTGAAAATAGCAACATAGCGGCGTCAAGTAAGGCGGATAAGGAATTCACCCCTACTAAGGTCAACGATTCTAGCGGTCGACCTGGTGATGTCGCTCTGTGCTCATTGGCAAATATGGGAGCACAACCTCCTTCAACCGTGTTACTGGGTACGGCGCGTATTTTGGTTAGGGATTCGCGTGGAAACAAACAAAGCGTCCGTGCACTGCTGGACAGCGGAGCCCAAAATAGCTTTATAACACGACAATGTTGTCAGCGCTTAGGCTTAGTAATAAATAGGTCACTTTCATGTCCTGTAGTTAAAGGCATCGGAGGTACTAGTAAAGCGACACAGGGATATATAAATTTAAAATTTTATTCTCGGATAGATCGTAACGTTAACTTTGATATAAATGCACTAGTAGTAGATAGGGTCACTGAACGGTTGCCAACCGTTTCGGTTGACACCTCGGCAATGATTGAATTTAAAAATTTGACTCTAGCAGACGACACTTACGCCGTTCCTGGAAACATAGACATGCTCATTGGGGCATCGCTTTTCCCTCATCTTTTGTTAAACAATAAGGTCAGGAGCAACTCCTCGCATACCGCGCCTTACGCACTGGAAACCGTATTGGGCTATGTGATCCTTGGCTCCGCCCCCATCCTAGATAGTATTTCGGCAGCCTCTTATTGTGGTATGGCTGTCGAACCGCTCGAGTCGTTAGTCCGCAAATTTTGGGAGATGGAGGAGATGAACGTCCCACCCATAGCTAGTTCAGCTGACAGGATATGCGAGGAAATTTACGTCCGCACGACCGTTCGTGATCGCGACGGTAGATATAGTGTAGCGCTACCCTTTAAGGGAGATGTTTTATCTCTCGGCGATTCGCGTCAAATGGCGGAAAAACGTTTCTACAGCTTGGAGCGTAGGATGCTCGCTTCGCCCCAGTTAAAGGAAGCTTACGACGGCGTCATTAACGAATATATAAGAGAAGGTTACATATCACTTGTGGCTTCGAAATTAGATAACTACGAAGACACACCGTCGTATTTTATACCACACCACGGAGTCATTAGAGAGGACAAACTTACATCTAAATTACGTGTAGTGCTCGACGCTAGTGCTAAAACTAGCACTCACCTGTCGCTTAACGATATCCTCTATAGTGGGCAAAATTTACAGGGCAGTTTATTTGATATAATAGTCAATTTTCGTTTGTTTAGTATAGCACTATCCGCCGATATTCGCCAAATGTTTCTTTGCATAGGGGTCCGTGAATGCGACCGTAGATTCCAGCGCATTTTATATCGTTTCCACCCAAAGGAACCTCTAATGGTGTTAGAATTTAACCGCGTTTGTTTTGGTTTAAAGTCGAGCCCATTTCATGCGTTACGCACGGTGAGACAGCTCGCTCACGATGAAGGTCCCTCTTATCCTAAAGCTAAGAGGGCAATTGAGAGCGGATTATATATGGATGATTTTGTGTATTCGGTCGATAGCGTGGAGGAGGCCACCCTAACCACCGCCGAGGTTATAAGGCTCATGAAATCGGGTCAATTCGATCTTGTGAAGTGGACTAGTAATTCGCGTCCGGTTTTAGATACAATCCCACTATCACACCGTCTTTCGGCGATAAAGGAATTCGACGATTCCGATACACACAAGGTGCTCGGTCTGTGTTGGTCACCAGAGTCCGACGTGTTTAGCCTTAAGGTAAATCCGCCGCACAATACTGTCATGCGTTGCTAGATTATGGGACGTCATGGGTTTCGTAGCTCCGGTGGTATTATACGCTAAGCTTTTGATTAAACAACTTTGGTTATTTGAATGCGATTGGGATGACTCGCCGCCTGACAGCATTGTTCGATTGTGGCAGCGCTTTAGAGAGGAACTTCCTTTACTAAGAGAAATTAAAATACCGCGTCATATAAATGTCGATAGAAATAGCAGCATAACGGTTGTTGGATTTGCAGACGCCAGCGAGAAGGCTTACGGGGGCGTTGTATATTTCCATGTCCAGAATAATGGTAGAAATTCGATTAGCCTCATTAGTTCTAAGTCGAGAGTCTCCCCCCGTAAGGTTGTCTCTCTGGCGCGCTTAGAGCTTTGCGCAATATTAGTACTCACCAAGCTTATTACCACAGTTATCGGCGCATGTAGGGATAGAGTTCACATAGAAAGAATATTTGCCTTTTCCGACTCCACCGTCGCCTTATGTTGGGTTCATTCTTCACCCCACCGTTGGGATACGTTTGTCGCGAACC